GAGGCAGCACATTGTTGGTTCTTTAATTATGTGTTTTTTTGTACAATATTATTTTTTAACTTTTCATTAGTACTTTTTAAATCTCTCAATTTTTAAGTTTTGGTTTCACAATCATCCCTCTTTCGATAAGATTGTAATTTATCTTCTATAAATTTTTATATGTAATTTGGTTTAAAAGAAATTTAAAAAAAAAAAGAGAAATACTCTTATTACGAATAATTAAATTTAATTGTTAAATTAACAAAATAACTTGATTATTTATAATAATAAAGATAAAATCGTCCCCTTTCTCAAATTTGCTCTCCAACAAATGTTTTAGGTAGACCGAACTGTTCTTTTTATCCAACTCTTCCTATTGAACTTAGTTTGTATTTTTTCCAATGAAAATTCTTGATGAATTTTATATTAGTAATATTATTAAACAAATAAATATATACATAATTATCTTTTTACGAGCCAGCTAGCAAGCCGACAAAGTTTATTGATGTGGGACCAATGGATTTTCCCTTTCTTATAAGGTTTGGTTTTTTCGAATATTAGAAAATCTAAAAGTAAAAAATTTATTTTTCAAATAATAGGTGAAAATAAAAACATTTAATTTATTTGAACTTAAGTATTTAAACTTAGATGATGAATTAATTACCCTCAAAGGATTGATTCTTTTATAAGGTTAAATTTATCATTTAATTTTTACTTTTTAACAATTCAAATTTATTTTTACTCTCTTACTTTTTTTTAAGTTAATATCAATTTAAACTTACAAAAATGCTAGGAACACTTGCCGAAAACCAACAATTGCGCACCTGCTCAAGGTGGCATTGACATGTATTTAGAATTACAAGTCCCATGCATTCCCTTGTGGTCCAACGGTGACCACTGTTAATTGGGAAATTGATGAATTGCACTCTTTTTAAACATTTTAATTTTCTTATTAATATTACATATATTAACACATTAACTAACTTAAGTTTTTTATTAAAAAAAAAAAATTACAAGTCCCCACAGCATCATTACTTAGTAGAATCCACGTGGCCATTTTACATAAGAGAGTGTAGAAAGGGGTCACTGTATATGGTAGTTCTCTTAAACTTATGTTTATTTAGGATGTTATGGTTTATATTGGTTAAGATTTAGTGTTTAGATTATTTTAAGATTTTGTGTTTAGATTATTTTAAGATTTTGTGTTTAAGGTGTTATGATTATGATTTAAATTTTTTAGATTCATATTTTATAAATTTAAGCTTTTTAGTGTTTAAGAGTAAAAATTCAGTTATGTATAAATCTCATATACAACATTTACACAAAAGATAATAATTCATGCATGTACCAAACCAACACCCTCCTCATTGCACACTTAGCTCAGTAGAAAAAAAATAATGTTTTATTCTGATAAATGCTTTTTCTTAACTTATTTTGAATAATAAAAAATTTAGACTTATTTTCCCAAAAACACCTCAATGAAGCATAATCACCCTCCTTCTTCATTTCTCCCTTGGCCTTCATGTCCAGCATCGATGTCAAGCTGGTGTTGATGACATGTGCCTTGTCCTTCCTTTCTACTTCATCCGACTTTTTTTCTTTTTTACCATCATCTTCTCCACTTCTCCCTTTCTTGATTTTGTAATGCTTCGACCTCGTTCAATAGAGGAGGAATACAGATCTGGGTTTCCACCCATCTACTTCTTCAGAAGTCCCTTCTCGTTCTCAGATCTGTCTCATCTCCTCTCCCTCTTTCTTCAGATTTGGGCTTTCTTGAATTTTGTTTATTTTTAGTTTTTTTTTTCCCATCATTTGTTTCCAGTTTTGTTTGTTGGATTTTGTATATTTTTAGTGAATTTTATTTGGATAATGGGACAGAAAAGAAAAAATATAAAGCAAATGTTGAAATTGGAGCTAAAAATTTGGTGGCAAAGAAAGGGTTTTGGGGGCTAAAATTGATGGGATTTCGACTCAAAAGTCTCCCTTTTTTTTTTTTTGGTTTCTACAACTTTACGCCACCGCCCAAATCCACGCTATAAAAACCCTTAATTAAGGTTGCTTGTTGAGAAATAAAAATAAGATTCTTGTTATCGTATGTTTGGAACCAAGAAGATAGCACGGCTGGGTGAATAGTTGCGGGGTTAAGTTATTCACCTCTTATTCCTAACTGAGGAGTAAATATACTTCTTAGGTTAAATTCCAATTTGGTCCTTAAACTATTGTATGGACCTTCGATTTGGTCCTTAAACTAAAAAAATTTCTGATTTGATCCCTGAACTATTGTATGGACCCTGATTTGATCCTAACTGTTTACCAATTTGCCCTAAGTTGATAATTTCATATAAAAAAAACTAACATATCTATTACTTAACGGTAAAAAATAATAACTTAAATATGAAAAATAGTAACTTAATGATTACGTGTCACGTTAATAACAAAATATGTCAGTTGGTTTTTGTATGGAAGGACTAACTTAAAGTAAATTGGTAAATAGTAAGGACCAAATCGGGGTCCGTACAATAGTTTAGGGATTAAATTAAGAATTTTTTTAGTTTAAGGACCAAATCGAGAATCTATATAATAATTAAAGAACTAAATTGAAAATTTAACTTACTTTTTAAGAAGTGTGATTCGCTAGATGTTGAATTAGTGGGTATGTGAATTATTATTTTTATACAAAATTTTTATTTTTTATTTTTAATAATTAAAATTTATTATGATTTTTTTAAATAAAAATGATTATTTAAATTTAATAATAAATAAATAAATCGTAATTATTGAAAATAAAAAGATTAATAATTAAGATTTTATATAAATATAATGTGTAAAATTTATATATAAGTGAATTTTAACTCAATATTTAATGTGTTGGGATTTAAATTTTTAAGGTTTAAGGTTTAAAAGATTTAAGTGTTTAATAATATAAATAATTAAAAATTAAAAATTACTTGACTTGAAAATTACTCAAAATTAAAAGAGCCCAAAAAAGAGAAAAGGATAGCCAATAAAAGTTCTTTCATATTTATAAGATTTCCTTCTACCAAAAAAAATATTTATAAGATTTCCAATAAATATTATTAACAAGTTTTGCCTAGTTAATTTCTCACCTAGCAAACATACATAAACATTCTTTACAAAAAAATTTTTCCAAAAGCAAAACAAAAATCCTTAAAAAAATATCTTCCAAACCAAACAAACAAGCCGTTATCATCATTTAGCCTCGCATGCACTTATGTTCATCCTCATCAGGTTCCATTGGTCACCTTTTTCTCCCCAGGTTCACCTTGCGTCCCTTTGACGCCGTCTCGCTCTAATAAGTCCAGGAGGCGTCGTCCACCTCTTCCACCCCTTCCAATTCCCATTCCACACCAATGGCCGAGGAATCGCTCCGTCAAGCGTTTGTCGAGAAACAAGCTGCCGTCGACGCCCAAGGCGACGTCGTTAGGAGACTGAAAGAGGCCGGTGCGCTGAAGCAGGAGATTGACGCTGCTATAGAAGTCTTGGACGGTTTGAAACTCCAGAAATCCTCGATCGAGGAGCAGCTTCAGGCTGCTCTTGGCAGTAACGACGGCGCCGCTGGCAGGGAGGCGTTCCGTCAAGCCGTGGTCAACACTCTGGAGCGGCGTTTTTTCTACACTGCGTCTTTCAAGATTTATAGGGGTGTGGCCGGGCTTTACGACTATGGACCTCCTGGTTGCGCCGTCAAATCCAATGTCCTTGCGTTCTGGCGTCAGGTAAGCAATTAGTAGACTGACATTCTTTTCCTTTTTGTACTAGATACGGTACAGTCGTTAAGAACAGCTTAATTTAGATATGTAAAGTTCGAATATTAAGGACGGAAATGTAATTGAGAAGAAGAGAGCAAAAGTGACGGTAACTGCCTAATATTTTTAGGAAATAGTATTCGTCTGGTTTATTTAGTTTAAAATTTTCATCCAAAAATATTAAAATATTTTAATTTTAAAAGTATAAATTAAAATATTTTTGAAGAATGTGTATATTCAATTTAATTTGATTGATTTGATATAAATTAATTAAATTTAATAAAAAATTAAATCAAATCAATTAAGTTGATTTGAATTATAAGTTTTTAAAATTGGTATAACTGATTTGGTATATAATGTTACGTTAAACTACTCAAACTATTCAATTATAAAATAAAATTTGATTACAAGATAATTTAATTAAATAATATAATTTTTTTATTATTTAAAATTTTTTTGTTTTACAAGATAATAATTTCAGTAACTTAATTAAAAAATAAAAATAAAACATCCTTCTATTCCCTAATTTATTTTTTCTTTTTAATCATGTGGTCTAATTTTAATTCTCAATTTCTAATTACTTGTAACTTCACCCATCAAAATTGATTTGCAACTCAACTCTTATAATTCTAAATTTCTAATTTGTTTCTAAAATAATATTCTTATTTTCCTAGTTAAGTTCTAAAGAATTATCATTCTAGAAATTTTAAAATTACATGATAAAAATAGTATTCATATTCTATTATTATTGGATGTTTAGTTAAGGAGTTTTAAATTTTGATTATAAATACTTTTAATAAATTTTAATAATATTCATATTAAATTTTATTCATTTTTAACGAGATTTAGAAGATGTGATTGAATCATTAGTGTATTAAAAAAATAGTTTTAACATTTAAAAATTACTTGCACTATAATTAAAACTTGAAATCATTTTTTATTGTTCTTAGTGCCTTTAGTG